ACCCCCTCGTATTTTTCCTTGCGCCCCCAACAACCCCAAATCCCTATCACCCACCCACCCAAAAACCCCCAAAATCCTTATCACCCACCCACCCAAAAATCCAAAACCCCCAAATCCTTACTAATATTAAATAAACATGGCCTTCGTTAGAAATACTAAAATTATTACAATAGCCCCCTTTGATTAATAATCCAATTTAGCGTAATTTAAAAATTAAAAATTAAAAAATTAAAAAATTAAAAAAATTAAAAAAAAGCGCCCGATTCAAAAATCCAAACTACAAACAAAGAAACCTAAAGAAAAGAGAGAAACATTTTCAAGAAAAAAATAGTTACCCATTGTGCCGTCAATGCACCAGATATCTGAGAAACAAGTATGTGCACCGGATTGCTGACACAGTTCTGGGGCCCTGTATCCGATCGGGGTCTGCAGCTCTTGGTCAGCGGCAAAGTCTTTGAGCACCACCATCTCGGATATGTTGTCCACAATCATGGTGTTTTCCCCGAAAAATATGTTTTCTGGCAGCAGATCACACTGCATGCCCTCACCCTGGATTCCTTCCAGGCACTTGAGGAGTTAATAAAAAAGAGACTTGATCCTCTCTTCTGCAACAAGCAAGCCAGACATACGAACCATACCCTCAGGTATGTTTTCAACCACCACCCTGTGGGTTCTTTCATCCAGCTTCCGGTAATCTACCAGCCCAATCAGGTAGGGAGGACGTGGACGCTCCGAAAGGTGCTGGAGGAAGAACAAGTCCTTAATGAACTTGTTACTCTTCCCTTGGTCCCTACCAAGACTTTCTTGGTAGAATTTCATTCGAACCTTTTCAGAGGTAAGGACATTTTTGGCTTGTATCACGATCCCGTACCTACAAAACCTAATGGGTTCGTCCGTCACAGCTTCAAAGAACATATATCGTGAGGGCATGATGACTCTAGATCTGTTTTCTGAGAAGTTCGTTGACAGAAAGTAAAGAGAGGGAGGTGAGTCTTGGAGTGGGGAGGCAAATCTTGGAGAGGAAGGTGAGTCTTGGAGTGGGGAGGGAAACTTGGAGGAGAAGGAGGTGAGTCTTGAAGTCTTGGAGTGGGGAGGCAAATCTTGGACGAGAGGGAGGGGTGAGTCTTGGAGTGGAGAAGCAAATCTTGGAGGAGACGAAGGTGAGAGAAGAGCGTAATGAGAAATGAGCGTGGCAACAGAGAGGACAAATAAGACTACAAACCGATTAAACTGTCACCGTCATCTCCCCTCCAATGAAATTTTGACACGTGTCCCTTATTTGCAACTCTCTCTTTGTTACTTTTTGCAACTTTCGTTTTATACTTCTCTCTTGCCTGTTTTAATTGGATTTATATTTATACAAATTAAAATTCTATCACAGTCTTTCATAAATTGGTGTGATTGTTTGTAAAATTGTGATAGTGAATTGCATATTATTTTTTAATATCTTATTGCAATTACCAATTTACCCATTGAACGATGCCATCAAAAGCTACTTCTCAGATATATATTGCCCTTGTACTGATTATTTTCTGCAGCTCAGCTGCTTTGAGCTTGCATGAAATGGATGATGAGGTACCAACCACCACAGCTGTTGTATTTTCAATGAGTAATTCACAATCCCTGTCTTTAAGAACCAGGTTAAAAGGTGACAATCAATTTGGTATTCATGGAGATGGATCATATAGGACAGATTCCATTGATGGAGGGTAAGATTAGAAAATTATCTGTAACAACTTGAAGCTGCTACTATCTTTATTGTTGCATGCTGGGTTTTCATTCAACCAAAAATTTGATTTACATTATATTCAATTGAAAATTCTATTACATGGTAATTTGTGGATTTTTTTTGTTCATACTCTCCTCTAGAATCAACGTATGTTCCCATGTCTCAAATTCTTACTTGACATTTTTTTCTTTAGCTGCCTTACTTTTTGTAGTTAATTTTCTCAGTATCCTCCTGGAAGCATGTATATTTGAGTGGGATAATAATTTCGGTCTTCATATATGGGGAAGATCCCCCACAAGGTTAAATTGTTGGAGAGCTTTTTATTGGCTGCTTAATACCTGTTTAAACTAGTGCTTGGAAAGAAGTTAAAAAATGGTTACTATGGTTTCTCAATCCTAATAAACGGCCAGTTCTTTGTGTCTAGGCTTTTCATGATATCCTTTGCAACATTCTTTTCCATCTGTTTGATTGAAAATTTAAGTCTACTATGGATGGATGGATTCTGTTTATAATTAGAAGATTGCAACAAAATCTGACTGATTTGTCATTTGATTTCAATCTTAGTGTATGACGTGACAAAGCGAGAAACCTTCACAAACTTGACGAATATCTGGGCAAAGGAAGTAGAGACATACTCCACTAATCCTGAGTGTATCAAAATTTTAGTTGGGAATAAAGTTGACAGGGTATATCTTAAACGTTACATACTTCCTTTGTTTTAATGTATTCTGAGTTTTCATGTTCTTCAAAGATGCTGGGGATATCGCATTCCTATGTTGTTCAACACTTCCCAGGAAAACGAGAGGACCATAAGTAGAGAAGAGGGAATGGCTCTTGCACATGAGCATAAATGTCTGTTTCATAAATGTCTGTTTCTTGAATGTAGTGCTAAAACTAGAGAAAATGTTCAACAATGTTTCAGAGATCTCACATTGAAGGTATATTTTCTTTCGGAAAGGCCTTGCATTTTCTCAACTCTCATCTTCTATCTGTAACATGTATTCTTCTGACCTGTTTAGAAGAGAAAACCGGTAGTCATAGACATCTCTGAGAATGGATATAGAACCTTAATTATATAAGTTGAATTGCAATTGTCAGAGTAATGACTAATTTTCTAACTCTTACTTCAATGTGGCATGCTTCAAGGCTTTCATCTGATTATGCTTCAATCCTAATGTTTGAACAGATGCTGGAGGTGCCAATTTACTGGAAAGTGGATCTGTAGATGTGAAGAGACAAATTTTGAAGCAGAAACAAGAAGACAAGATGCCTTGAAGTGGTAATTGCTGCTCTCAATGAAAATGTTTGAAAACGACAGTACAAGAATTGGTGTAACGACAGTTCGGCGGACTATGCTCTTCAGAGAGCTTTTCTAAAGCAATTGTCATCACTTCCATTACAATTTTAGCAACTATGCGTTCAGAAACAGTCCTGGTCGTTTCTAAGTTGAATTTAGCTTAATCAGAAGGTGTTAGGAGTTTGCTTAGGGCATTTTGAAAAATACACATTACAGGTACTGGTTGGATAAACAATATAAACAGTGGCCCTGTATGAGTGTATCCATAAATCTCTGTAAATTACAAAAAATGTACAGGAACTGCTTAAATATGTACACACGAAAAGTTGTATTTTGCAACCTTAATTGAGTCTTTGGTGTTTTTCTTCAGTTTTTTATTCATTCATAGTCCAGCATTACTTTACTGTGTCTTCAATGGTCTGCTATTATAGTACATGTTTTTTTTTAGTTTTTGTTGATGAGAAACGAAATTTATTAATATAAAAGCAAATTACAATTGAAGGGGACAAAAGAATATCCATCAAAACAGTACAATCTTACAACAGAACATCCTCAGCTATCAGTAAAAATCCCACAGAAACTTATACACGATACCTATCTAACAAATGGTCCCAGACTTCCTTTGCACCCATACCTCCACCAGCATTCTAAATTATACACATCCGAAATTATATACATCCGAGGATATGTGAGACGTGAGCACCATCTCCTTGGAAACAATTATCGAGGAGAAGCTTTTCAATCTGCCAATCAATCCATGCTTTGTGTGAGCTTCTTAGAGCTTTGTGAATGCATTCCACTTGTGAAGCAAAAATCCTCAACTTGCAGTGGTTGTCTTGCATATTTCGTAGCCTTAGAAGCCTTTCTGTTTTGGTTCTTCCTTTAGCGACACGGTTGAAGCAGGAAGTTTGCCTGAGAATCTGAAATATTCAACTGAATATGGCTGATGACAACAGTGGCCTTGCAAACATATCACAGATTTGATTAATGTGAAACTAAACTCCTTTTTAATCACCAATAATCTCCACAGGAACAGCAACCATCTCTAAAATGATGGAACCGATTCAAGTCTCTGACAATGATCTCCCGTCCGTAGACTCTAGATATTAATTTGGTGGCCGTGTGACAATCTCCACAGATTCGAAGGTTCTTCGTCACTCGAAGAACTACTCCAGGACTAGTATTAAGAAGTCCAAAGGCAATGGCAAGCTTTTCACTGTGGGTTGTAAGGTTATGTTCTTTCTCCTCCTCACTAACATCATGCAAAACAAAGCTAGTGTCAGGTACATAACCGGCTGCCTTAATCTTATTCGGTAACTCTTCCAATAAAACCTCATAAATTTCCTTTGCTTGAGGGTGAGATGTATCTCCACCAAGAAACAGATGGGCTTTCCCATTGACCTCTATCCAACTGCATCCAGGATTCTTCTTCATGCCCTGGGATTTTAAAAGCGCTCTCAAATCGTCCACCTCCTTCCACATGCCAGCGTCAGCATATATATTTGATAGCAGGACATAGTTGCCACTGTTGTCTGGTTCCAAGATGAATAGCTTTCTAGCTGCAATTTCAGCAATTTCCAAATTGTGGTGCTTTCGACAAGCCGATAACAATGCTCCCCAAATACTTGGCCCTGCTTGCATTGGCATTTTACTCACAAGATCTATTGCTTCCCCCAAGCGCCCTGCACGACCCAATAGATCAACAACACAAGCATAATGTTCCACTCTGGGTTCGATAGAGTATATTGTCTTCATACAATTAAAGTATTTCAGGCCAACATCAATGAGCCCCGAATGGCTGCATCCAGATAATAGTCCTGTGAATGTTATGTTATCAGGTTGAAGCCCAGCTCCGATCATGTCCTCAAAAGTAGACACAGCTTCTGATCCACGTCCATGGGAGGCATAAGCTGTTATCATAGTATTCCATGCAACTAAACTATTTTCAGTTTGACGTACTCTTTTGAAACACTGACGAGCATCAGAAAGGCTCCCGCATTTAGCATACATTGCCAGGAGCGCTGTCTGTATGGAAGTATTAGAGTCCAAACCAATCCTGCTAGCAAAATTGTGAATTTGTCTCCCACGCTCAAGGGCAGCTGAATGTGCACATGCAGGAAGAACACTCATTATAGTCACCCAGTTGGGCTTAACCTCTGAATCTTTTCTCAACATCTCATCAAATAAAACCAATGCTTGCTCAGCAAGCCCATTTTGAGTGTATCCCGATATCATAGCAGTCCAAGACACAATGTTTTTGCATGGCATTCGTCTAAACAAATCCTCAGCAGAACAAATCTCTCCATCTTTCATGTACCCCGCAATCAATGCATTCCAAGAAGAAACGTCCCTCACAGTCATTTTATCGAACAAACTACGAGCATCGCTCATTTCACCACATTTCACGTACATAACAATCAAAGAAGTCCCAACATACATATCAGACTCCAACCCAATTCTCAAGCTGAGACTATGAACACATTTTCCTAACCAAATGCTCGACAAGTTAGCACAACACTTAAGAACAAAAGGGTACGTAAAGTTATCACCTTTAAGGCCTAAACGATGCATTTGACCATAAATTTCAATCGTTTTCTGAGAGTAGCCACACAGAGTATATGCCCGAATAATCGAATTATACAAAAGTGTAGACGGGTTATTTACTCTATGAAAGATATTAACCGCTGAGTCAAGATCATCTGAGCTTGCATACATTGCAACCATCTTGGCCCCAAGGAACGCATTAGGTTCGAGCCCACGCAAAGCCATCTGGGCATGGACTTGTTGGCCTAGTTTCAACAAGTTCTGGGCAGTCAATGACTGAAAAATGGGTGCATAGAATGAAATGCAATTTGGGTCTTGTACTAGCAGTGATTTTAGAAGTGTACGCGTACGCATTGTTGTGGACAGTGAGAGCAATGGCGCACTGCATTTCGGTAGTGGAGAACATGAGCGTTACGTTTATTTGAGCAAAGCAAATGAACCCTCTATTAACAGTATAGCCGCACGGCTATATTTAGGTCCTGTCTTTTAAATTTTTTTAATAAATATTACAGCCGCTCGGCTGTACTTGCTTCTATTTTAAATTTTTTTAATAAATAGTATAGCCGCGCGGATATACCTGGGTCCCTTTTTTATTCATTTATATTTATTTAGTAAATCGTATCGCCGCCCGGCTATACTTGGTCCTTTTTTAAAACTTTTTAAAAAATATATATAGTATAGCCGCTCGGCTGTACTTTGGGTCCTGTTTAAAATTTTCCTTTTTAAGCTCGACTATGCATTGGGTCTTTTTACTTTTTCTTTTTAATAAATTGTATAGCCGCGCGGCTATACTGTCTACTTTTTTTAAAATGGTTTTTTTTTTAATAATTAGTATAGCCGCCGGCTGTACTAGGGTCTTCTTTTTTTCTTCATAAATAGTATAGCCGCGCGGCTATACTTTGGTCTTTTTTTTTTCAAAGAAAAAAATTTAATAAATAATATAGCCGCAACTATACTCATGTTAAACTTCTTTTTTTTTTTTTTTTGTGAAGAAATAGGGCTAACGCCTAACAAAGAAATTAAACAATGGTTCGAGGCTTACAGACTCCAAGTAAATCTTCACTAAGAAAAGACCTAATACTGTCAGGAGGGTTCTAGAAAGTTGATAGACCCAACTCAAGACATGAACCCAATTCAGCTAGTTTATTCGCTACCATGTTGCAATCACAATATACATGATGAATAGAACAAACCTAATTTTTGTTTATATAGTCATGGCATCCCCACAACATAGTAGCAAGAGGATGAAGGTCTTCCACATTTTTGTTGAGCAGGTGTACCGCGGTCGCTGAGTTAGACTCAAGCACAACTGCACTGCAACCTATATGCAATTTTCAGTCCAAGATTGATGTCCCATAACTCAGCTTCCAAGACTTGTCCTACACCAAGATTGACAGCAAAGCCTCTCATCCACTGCCAAGAACTATCTCTTAGTACACCCCCAGCAGCAATGCGTCCATCCTCACCTTTTCCGCACTCGTCGGTATTGATTTTAATCACTCTTTCATTCGGATATTGCCAAGAGAGTGCAGTGAGAGAGCAGGTGGGTTTTCTAGTTTTTTTAATATTGTCCTGTGTCCAATCTGCAGCAGCCATAAGAATGACGTGTCTGGGGTTGTTGGGAAACACAAACCCCTGCTAGCAAAATTGTGAATTTGTCTCCCACGCTCAAGGGCAGCTGAATGTGCACATGCAGGAAGAACACTCATTATAGTCACCCAGTTGGGCTTAACCTCTGAATCTTTTCTCAACATCTCATCAAATAAAACCAATGCTTGCTCAGCAAGCCCATTTTGAGTGTATCCCGATATCATAGCAGTCCAAGACACAATGTTTTTGCATGGCATTCGTCTAAACAAATCCTCAGCAGAACAAATCTCTCCATCTTTCATGTACCCCGCAATCAATGCATTCCAAGAAGAAACGTCCCTCACAGTCATTTTATCGAACAAACTACGAGCATCGCTCATTTCACCACATTTCACGTACATAACAATCAAAGAAGTCCCAACATACATATCAGACTCCAACCCAATTCTCAAGCTGAGACTATGAACACATTTTCCTAACCAAATGCTCGACAAGTTAGCACAACACTTAAGAACAAAAGGGTACGTAAAGTTATCACCTTTAAGGCCTAAACGATGCATTTGACCATAAATTTCAATCGTTTTCTGAGAGTAGCCACACAGAGTATATGCCCGAATAATCGAATTATACAAAAGTGTAGACGGGTTATTTACTCTATGAAAGATATTAACCGCTGAGTCAAGATCATCTGAGCTTGCATACATTGCAACCATCTTGGCCCCAAGGAACGCATTAGGTTCGAGCCCACGCAAAGCCATCTGGGCATGGACTTGTTGGCCTAGTTTCAACAAGTTCTGGGCAGTCAATGACTGAAAAATGGGTGCATAGAATGAAATGCAATTTGGGTCTTGTACTAGCAGTGATTTTAGAAGTGTACGCGTACGCATTGTTGTGGACAGTGAGAGCAATGGCGCACTGCATTTCGGTAGTGGAGAACATGAGCGTTACGTTTATTTGAGCAAAGCAAATGAACCCTCTATTAACAGTATAGCCGCACGGCTATATTTAGGTCCTGTCTTTTAAATTTTTTTAATAAATATTACAGCCGCTCGGCTGTACTTGCTTCTATTTTAAATTTTTTTAATAAATAGTATAGCCGCGCGGATATACCTGGGTCCCTTTTTTATTCATTTATATTTATTTAGTAAATCGTATCGCCGCCCGGCTATACTTGGTCCTTTTTTAAAACTTTTTAAAAAATATATATAGTATAGCCGCTCGGCTGTACTTTGGGTCCTGTTTAAAATTTTCCTTTTTAAGCTCGACTATGCATTGGGTCTTTTTACTTTTTCTTTTTAATAAATTGTATAGCCGCGCGGCTATACTGTCTACTTTTTTTAAAATGGTTTTTTTTTTAATAATTAGTATAGCCGCCGGCTGTACTAGGGTCTTCTTTTTTTCTTCATAAATAGTATAGCCGCGCGGCTATACTTTGTGTTTTTTTTTTTCAAAGAAAAAAATTTAATAAATAATATAGCCGCAACTATACTCATGTTAAACTTCTTTTTTTTTTTTTTTTGTGAAGAAATAGGGCTAACGCCTAACAAAGAAATTAAACAATGGTTCGAGGCTTACAGACTCCAAGTAAATCTTCACTAAGAAAAGACCTAATACTGTCAGGAGGGTTCTAGAAAGTTGATAGACCCAACTCAAGACATGAACCCAATTCAGCTAGTTTATTCGCTACCATGTTGCAATCACAATATACATGATGAATAGAACAAACCTAATTTTTGTTTATATAGTCATGGCATCCCCACAACATAGTAGCAAGAGGATGAAGGTCTTCCACATTTTTGTTGAGCAGGTGTACCGCGGTCGCTGAGTTAGACTCAAGCACAACTGCACTGCAACCTATATGCAATTTTCAGTCCAAGATTGATGTCCCATAACTCAGCTTCCAAGACTTGTCCTACACCAAGATTGACAGCAAAGCCTCTCATCCACTGCCAAGAACTATCTCTTAGTACACCCCCAGCAGCAATGCGTCCATCCTCACCTTTTCCGCACTCGTCGGTATTGATTTTAATCACTCTTTCATTCGGATATTGCCAAGAGAGTGCAGTGAGAGAGCAGGTGGGTTTTCTAGTTTTTTTAATATTGTCCTGTGTCCAATCTGCAGCAGCCATAAGAATGACGTGTCTGGGGTTGTTGGGAAACACAAACCCATGATCAAAAATATTTTTGTTCCTCCATTTCCAAAGAAACCAGCAAGTGAAAGCAAACATGGTTGACCACTCCACTCCATAAGCCAAAATTGTAGAGTTGTGTAAATTTTTTCCAAGCCAAGTATGAAGATCAACAGCCTGCAGCAAACTCAGATTCATAGCGCATACTCATGTTAAACTTCATGGCGCATAGAAAGGCTGAAACCGTTTGTGGGATTGCTCAAAGTATGCATCTTTTTTATTCTTTGAATCCCTAAAATTGGTCTATTATTTTGGGGAAAATTGGACCTGGTCAAGCCCTTAAGACAATTTAAATATCTTATGGCTCGAAGTCTGATCCAATTCGAGCTTGAACTTTTGGGTCTATCCTTATTTTTCATATTTGTTTTAGTACAAGTGATAGTCTAAACTAGAGGAGAGTTTCTCACACATATTATCACGGTGTCATAAAATTCAAACTTGAGACCACTAGTATGCAAATCTAAGCCATTTTTCATTGGGCTAGAGACCATGTTGGCTTATTTTTCAAATCTCTAGTTTCAAAGCAAAATATAAAGTTTTTTTTAAGAAAAATATAATAATCTATTTTTTTATTTTAAAAAACATGGTAAAAAGACAAATGGGTCCTCGAAATGTAGAGAATTGAGAGCATTATCCAAAGGAGAAAACAGGATGTAGAGTCTTTAGCTAGAGTAGATCAAAACAAGGCCATATGACTAAATCGTCTAACCTGCCGGCTTTGATTTATATTGGTCACTAATGTTTGTTGCGTGTTTTGACAAAAAACAGACATAAAAAGAACGTTTCTTGTGGTACTACAAGTATTACTATACCTGCATTATTAAGAAGAACTTGATATCACCGATTGATACCAATTCCCAGCTGTTTCCTTTCCTAATTCCTGGTTGTTTTCTTCCCTCTCCTTTTAATATGACAAGAAGCTTCACCCTTCTAAGCCACCCTTGTTAGTTACATATATATAAGCTACATGGTCTATTTGCACACACCAGAGACCCAAAAAAAAAACAGAGAAAATTTAAAAGCTGCATTGCATTTTCAGGCTTTCCAATATGGCCTCCACGGGCTACCACCGGCGTTTGATTGCATGCGCAATGTTGATAGCAGCAGCTCTTGTTGCTCAAGCCAATGCCATTCACATTTATTTAGAATGGAATGTCACCCTTGACAGCACAATCAAGCCTGTGTCCCAAGATCAACCTGTAAGAACCTTTGGCTTTGTAGTTAGCTAGTTCATGTAAGTTTGATTTGCTAATGCTTGTTCTTAATTTGCTTGAGCAGGTGATCGCCATTAATGGATTGTTCCCCGGACCACTTATCAACACCACAACGAATGATTTTGTTCATGTCAACGTCTTCAACAACATGGATGAGCCTCTGCTCTTTACTTGGTATGCAAACAAGCAATTTTGGATAGACCATATGTTGGTCTACAAAAGCCGTTTTAATAAACTGGAGAAAATGTTTTAATGAACTAGGAGAAAATGGTGTTGGTGATGCAGGAATGGGATACAGCAAAGGCTAAATTCATGGCAAGATGGGGTTTCCGGAACAAACTGCCCGATTCAACCCGGTACAAACTGGACTTATGTCTTCCAGACCAAAGACCAGATTGGCAGCTTCTTCTACTTCCCTTCCATCAACTTCCACAAGGCTGCTGGAGGATTTGGACCTATTCGTGTCATCAACCGCGACGTCATTGCCGTCCCCTTCCCCAAACCAGAAGCTGAATTTGATCTCCTTATCGGCGACTGGTTTTATGACAGCTACAAGGTCTTTCACTTTAAATTTTGTTCATGAAAAACATCAATTTGCTTCATTTTTTTTTTCTTTTTTGGTGGTTGACACTTTTCTTTTTGGGCCTGGTTTTGGAACAGAGTACTAGAGCAATGATGTGCACCCATCTTGGGGCTTACTACACTATCCCAGATATCATTTTGATGAATGGCAAAGGCCCTCTGGGTAACCCCATGTCAAAAGCATATGAATCCTTCAACGTCACACAAGGTACATTGAGTTGAGTGGGATAAAATAGCTTTTAATCGTCGACGAATTATATTATCAATTGCTGAGTTCAAACCTCATAGACGACAGACAATTAACGACGGCGTGATATTTGTTATGCAGGGAAGACTTACAGGTTGAGAATATCAAATGTGGGGAATGCATTGAGTTTCAATTTCAGGATTCAGAACCATCAGATGGTGTTGGTTGAAACAGAAGGATCTTACACTGATCAGATTACTTTGGATTCTCTAGATGTGCATGTTGGCCAATCGTACTCAGTTCTTGTCACAGCAAATCAAAATGATGCTGATTATTACATGGTGGCATCTCCCAAGTTGATCAACGCCTCTGATTTCACCAGCCTTGTGGGCATAGGGGTCTTACACTACTCCAATTCAATCTCACAAGTTAGTGGGCCCCTGCCAGTTGGGCCTGACCCTTTTGATCTTCATTTTTCAGTCAATCAAGCCAAATCTATTAGGTAATATGAACAAAGTTGATCAGCTTAAACATCTGCTACACACAATCAGCTTGCTATAAATTTTCAAAAACCACACTCTAATTTTTATCAAACACGTTCTAATTTTCATCAAACACATTCTTATGTTCCCATTTAATTTTTCTTCATGGTGAGCAGGTGGAACTTGACTGCAGGAGCTGCAAGGCCTAACCCACAAGGGACATTCAATGTGTCAAACGTGACCCTATCCCAAACCTTCATCCTCCAAAGCTCAATTGCTGACCTTTATGACCAAATACCACGTTATGTTGTCAACAATGTGACCTATAGCACTCCAGAAACCCCATTGAAGCTCGCGGATTACTATGTCAATGGCACCGGCGTGTACCAGCTTGACGCTTTCCCTGTTCAATCTGTCAATGCCAATGCTTCGTGTGGAGTGTCTGTGGTGACTGGAATCCACAAAGGGTGGATAGAAATTGTGTTAAAAAACAATTTGGATGCGATGGATTCCTGGCATTTGGATGGTTTCGGATTTTATGTTGTGGGGTAAGCATCAATATTATGGCACATATGTTACATTATTAGACCGTCAATATGTCATTCGGATTAACAATCTGACAACATTACATATGTCACCGATGTACAGATTCGGGATTGGAGATTGGACAGCGAAATCACGTGACACGTACAACCTATTTGACCCTGTGGTGAGATCAACAGTTCAAGTGTACCCCGGAGGATGGAGTGCAGTGTATGCATTCCTTGACAACCCAGGAATGTGGAACTTGAGGTCACAATTGCTGAAGCACTGGTACCTAGGACAAGAACTCTATGTGAGAGTTCATGATCCTGATCCTAACCCAGCTAAAGAGCGCCCACCACCTGAAAACCTCCTTCTATGTGGTTAGCGCATTGGATTTCATGATTAATTAAGCACTTTTATTTCTTAAACATAATTAATTCAAAATTCTAATTAATCATTGATCTTATTGCTTCTTTTTGCAATTGCAGGAATGTTTTCCGATTCTCCAGCTCCGGCTCCGGCTCCGGCTCCACCATCATCATGGAACTGACCTTAAATATAAATATAGCTGCATGATGAGTGCATACAATAATGCCCAAATATTTATGTACAAATATAAATTACCACATGTAAACCTACAAATTATTATTTTTTGGGTCGCATTGTACTCCAACGTTGAACTTAATTCATTCGTTTTGTTTGTGTAAGTTTCTGTGGTTGCATGTTGGTAGGTTTTTATGGCATTGTTCCATTAATAATAAGCAAAGCTAACCACATAACTTCAAATTGAACTTCACTTCTCTTTTTGCCCTTTTATTTTATTTTATTTTTCCTAGCTAGGGATGAAAGTGGATTGGAATATTAATTAATTTTTTGATAAAAGGGTAGCTATTATTTTGGTCCAATATATATTTTCTTTGACAATTATCCCCCAAATGATTGAAGTTGACCTCAAATATAATATGTTCCTACTTCCTGCAAATCATAGTTTGACACATATGTAAAAATAATTCATTAAAATCACAAAAAAAGAAAAATATCTACACATATTAAACTGTGATTACGATATAACATACGATGCACAATGCAAATGTCACACAATCACCGTGATACAAAAACCACATAGAGATGAAAAGGAACATAACATTTCGTTCCATACACGTTGGATTAATATAGACATTTAAAATAAAATAAAATAAAATTTCTCCTTTGATAAGATGATGAAATTACACTTCCAATTTCTTTTTTATAAGAAAATTTTGAATAAAATAAGAAGATAATTTAACGCAAATATAGCACTCTGTTTTTTCTATTGCATAGAAAATATAGCACTCTTTTTAATTAGAGTTTAACTGAAATTCAATCATCTCCTTCAACAAAAGTCCAACTCAATCAAAACCTCTCCCTAATCAAAATTCAAATTAATTAATCAATGTTATAGATAATTAAAATTGAATTAATCTTAAAATTTCTGACGCCCTTCTTGTATATCTTCATATTATGAAGCATAAATACATAATAAAGTGCTGAGAAAAACAAGGTAGCCGTAGTCTTATTTAATTCTTCTTGCATCATACTTTGTCTCTCAAACTCTTTTTTTTATTCTGTCTTCTCTTGGCGCTTTGTCAAGTGCCGTAACTATATTCTTTATTGCTGTCACAGGCGCATATAACTATGCCATTGAACCAATATTCTGCTTAGCTATCTGAGCCCTTTGCGTGAGATCAACACAAGGAGGGTTTTTTTTGTGTGCAGGATTTGCAAGCATACAGAGAAACTTAGTCCATGCAATATGGCATGGCCCAGTGGTGATCGTTGTCGTCGTCCATGGCTGATTGGTCCTGCAACTCTTCTTATGTTCCTTGTGTTGGCAGTTTCTGCTGAGGATATTTTTCTTGACTGGCATGTCACACTTGACACAAATATCAAACCGGACCAACCGGTATGAACAAACAATCCCCAAACCCCCAGAATTTCATCTGAAATTTGTGTTGAACTTGTGTAATTGTCAGGAAAATATTGAAAAATCTATATTGTTGCACCCCAAGAAATTGAAGCTAGATTCTGCTTGGGTACTCTGTTTTGGGCTGTTTCATCTTTGTTCTGAGGTTTTTTTTACGTTCATTTTGGAAATGCAGGTTATTGCCATCAATGGGCTGTTTCCAGGACCTCTTCTGAATGGCACAACCGATGATGTTTTTCATGTCAATGTGTTTAATGAAATGGATGAACCCTTGCTGATAACTTGGTATGCTCAAACCTCTCTCTCTCTCTCTCTCTCTCTCTCTCTCTGTGTGTGTGTATAGTGATTTATGTCAATATGTTCCAAAGTTTTAACAATTCCCAAGGAATCTTAAATATTGATCAATATTTCTCAACCAAATATGAAAAAAATCAAGTGAATCACCAGTGCCTGATCCTTCATAGTTAATATATGAAGAATCCAACACCTGCCCTGTCCCTTATAATCTAGGCAATGTTTTTGACATTTAGAGGCTTATAGCCCTAAAGATTAAGGAGGGTCTTTTGGTGCAGGAATGGCATACAACAAAGACTGAACTCTTGGCAAGATGGAGTTTCAGGCACAAACTGCCCCATTCTGCCAGGTGAAAACTGGAGTTATATGTTCCAATTCAAGGATCAAATTGGCACTTTTTCCTACTTTCCCTCTCTCAGCTTCCACAAAGCTGGAGGAGCTTTTGGTCCAATTCGTATCAATAACCGCCCGGTCATCCAAGTACCATTTCCTAAACCAGAAGCCGAATTCGATCTTCTCATTGGTGACTGGTATGACAGAAGTTTCAAGGTATAATTCACATCCAATCTCCATGTTATATATCATCACATATCAATATCTACAAAGTGAATTTTGACTAGGATATATAATTACAATTATGTTACCTAAATGTAACAGGATGTTAGGTCCATGATGAGAACAAATCTCATGGCCTACAACAGCACCCCTGATAAAATCTTGATGAATGGAAAAGCTGCGTATTCGGCCCCTACTACAGAAGCCCATGAGTCCTTCGCTGTTGCAAGAGGTACATACAAAGACTAACATAATTCAATGTTATCTGTTCTTCTAAACATACTCTTACATTTAAGCTTTTATATATGCAGGCAAGACCTACAGAATTAGGATATCAAATGTTGGGACTGCATGGAGTTTCAATTTCAGGATTCAAAAACACAAAATGGTTTTGGTTGAGACAGAAGGTTCCTACACAAATAAAATCACATTGGATTCTCTTGATGTGCATGTTGGGCAGTCCTACTCTGTTCTTGTCACAGCTGACCAAAATGTTTCAGACTATTACATGGTGGCAAGCCCTAAAATGTTCAATGCAAGTGATGTGACAAGATTTGGCATTGGTGTGCTGCACTATGATAAGTCCACCACACCCCCTAGTGGGTCTCTTCCGAAGGGGCCTGACCCATTTGATCAAAAATTCTCCATCCATCAGGCCCAATCCATTAGGTAGTAATAAACACGACCCATTAATTTTGAGTTGAATACTCTAATTCTATCGTGTTATTGTATTATATTTGTCATTTTGTAATTGAACATTTTTGCCTTGTGAAGATGGAACCTGACCACAGGGGCTGCAAGACCTAATCCGCAAGGAACCTTCAATGTTCATAATGTCACACTCTCACAGACCTTCATACTCCAAGCATCTACAGCAGAGATTAATGGCCTACCCCAGTTTACTGTCAACAATGTGTCTTACTTAGCCCCAGACACACCACTAAAGTTGGCTGATCAATTTCTCAACGGGTCTGGAGTATACAAGCTCGATGAATTTTCTACTAACTCTAGTAATTTTGAAACCGTACGTGGAGTTTTCGTTGCATCTGGGAAGCATAAAGGGTGGATAGAACTTGTTTTCCATAATGATTTGGAGGGCATGGATGCTTGGCACTTGGATGGCTTTGGTTTCTATGTTGTTGGGTAAATACTAGACCCTAAACATTTTGTTAGGGCTGCGTTTCTTGTCACGCAAGTAACAAGAATTTATAACATATCAGACATTTCATACCAATAATTGTGTTCTGACATTTGTTTCTCAGATTTGGAACTGGAAAGTGGAGTCCTAAATCGCGCTCTAAGTACAACCTTTATGATCCGGTTGTGCGTTCTACCGTGCAAGTGTACCCCGGTGGATGGACTGCAGTTTATGCATACCTTGACAACCCAGGAATGTGGAATTTGAGGTCACAGCACTTGAAAAATTGGTATTTGGGAGAGGAGCTTTATTTGAGAGTTTATGATGCTGATCCCAACCCTGCCAAGGAGAAGCGTGCTCCCAATAACCTCCTTCTATGTGGTCAGTGTTAATCAATTGTAGCCCCATCTCCTTAATTTCTCTAGCTTAAATAATAATGGTAGCTTCCTTTTTTTTTAATTTACTTTCACTTTTGCAGGAGAGTTTGCTCCTTTCCCCCCGGCCGCTCCACTTGTGCCTCCTCCTCCACCTCAACCTTCTCCACCTGCACCTGGGCCATCAAGTGCACATTCTTTGCAGACAGCAGCAGGGTAAGAGTTAATTATCCAAACTAGCCACTGCTTTCTTCTTTTTTTCTTGTTTTTTTTTTTAATATTCTTAATATTGCTTATAGCTAACCTATCATTCTTTCTTATTTTTGGATGTTTGTAGGTTTCACATTGCCATCATCTGCATTGTTGCAACATTCTTTCAGATATCTAGAAGTTCATCCCATTTTTTATGAGGGGCACCAAAGGGGGCCCTTGAAGTCAAGACACTTATTTTTTTGGGAGATATTCATCGGACAAAGTCCCAGAGCATGTGTACTAGTTCTTGGATATTTTGATTTATTATGTTTTGTAGCATAGATGTTTGATTTGTCCCAAAGTTGCTGATGTTATGGTGTACCTTAAGATATTGTGGCCAAGTAATTCATTTAGATCATTTCAATGCTCTGCCTTTTCTTTTGTTGGAACAAGAAAAGTGAAAATCCCAGACCAACCTTATTTTCTATAATTAATATTGAATTTCAGTATAGCATACTTAATTAATTAGTTTTAACGGTCAAGTTAACGTCAAAATCATATTGCAATAAATTTTCAATTTGGAGGGTACTTCATTGTTAAAATTGAAAATGCATGAACAAACATGCTTTAAGGTACAATTACAGCGTACCAAACTGAAATTAATCCTATAAAATTTCAGCAAATCAACACAAAATGCTCCAACAGACAAAATGTGTTGATGATGTAAATGGTGGGAAAATGTGAACAAATACGTTATGAATCATTCAAGATGATGCTGATAGGCCGATAGGATGATAGGATGATAGTGTGTGTATTTGTGTATGATATGGGAGTCTTGATTGATTTTTCTGTTTTCTTCATCATTTTTCGCATTTGTGGATGTCCATTTGGCGGTGCACTTTCACGTCCACGTTTATTCACTGAGCTTTGCACATGCTTCCAAATTATTTTGGGCCTATTTCCTATAAGGACAAAAGTTGAGTCCATAGCGGGTTTGGCAGGAAAAAGCCCGAACTCTTGTGCGGTCCATTTAGAGAAAAACTGGGTTATCCTGGCTTGGTTGTTTCTTTATAATTTTATCTCTCTTTATCACGTGACAAGAAATAAATTAACACTCAATTCATAGGCGATTTATAGAACCGGTACATGTGAGTTTTTCTCCCATTTTTAACAATTTATGTGAGATAAGGAAAAATTGAATCTAGCACCTCCAATACAATAATAATTGCTCCTAACCACAACTTTTGCGGAGATGTTAGATAATTAATGGAACATTAACTCATAATTACTCCTCGCTATATCACAATCCACATGAATACTTTTGAGCTGTGCCGTTTAAACAAAGTTACATACAACGAACACTAGAAGCCATTAGGTAAGACAAACTTTCTTGTTAAACCACAATGCCCAAGTTTGGGTGGTATATATATACATATATATATATATGTATATATATATATATATATATAACTGCCAATTCCTTGGTGACAATTTACAGCTCAATGTGATGAAGAATCGCACATTTCGTGGTAAATATTCTCACTTTTTTTTTTCTTTCTAATATGACCAAAATCCATCTAGTTATCACCCCCTTTATAAAAAGATGAATTAAACTGACCACTTTGTGAGAAATTTCACAACTCAATCAGTATAATATTTTATGCTAATATGATAATGACCAATTCCAATTAAATATTTATAAAAAAAAAGTCAATTTTTATGGCTTTTTGTGAGTAGACTTTTTTCCCTTTTGTTTTTGGTCCTTGTAATTCTAATTTCAATATATTTTAGCTTACAATTTTTTCAGTTTGATTACATGTCATGTTCTAAGCTTGTTGTGAACATTCATCTCTCTCTCTCTCTCTCTCTCTCTCTCTCATGAGGCAGACAAGGACACCAACTCTTTACTTAGAAACAGCTAATTGATGCTTAACAACGCCATGATACAAGGACGAGGACGAGGATTTGGTACAATTGTGTACGAGGCTCTTTGTCTTGTTTTAATACTGTCTTTAATTCCAATGGTTATTATCGCAACTTTGTGCTTACACGTGATCTAACCCTTCATATTACCACAAATCTTCAATTAGTTAGCCTAATAAGTTTCCCAATATCTAATTAGGTACGTCCTCCAATCCAATGCCCACCAAACCCTATCACCATTACTCATAATAATTAGCATATCAAAAGCTAACAAAAAATCCTCCACCATTTCGGATTGGCATATCAAAAGCTAACAAAAATCTTCCAACTACGAAATGTGCATTGGACATGAGCCACTAATACTACATGGGTTGTCGGGATCACATTTTCTAGTGGCAGCTAACTGTACTTAACAGCATATAATTCAATCCAAATTTCTAATTTCTTCGATTAATTCATTTTGTAGAAATGAACTCATTATTCATATAAGCGGGAATACCACATTGTGAGAGATGTGATCAATAATAATATAACTAATGCATTGTGGGTAAATAACATCTTTTTTTTCCCGGGCTACAAAATTGCAAACAATTGCTTTAGATTTATGGGTTCCAATTGCAATGCTAAGATCAAAACAACGTAATTTATGAATGTTTAAATTGAAATTTAGGGTTCTTTGACAACGTTCAAACTTTCAGAACCCAACAAAAGAAAAAAGAAAGTACTTTGTCAATTCCTAAGTTTAAAATCCTAAAACTGATGGCTTTGTGGGTCATGAAACAGTGGATCATATCCAGATATTGCTTATGTGGTAACAGTGAGGAAGTAACACACCAAGAGGTGGACAAAAGCAAAGAAAGTGACAAAAATAGCAAGTAGATATAATATTTTTAGTAGCATATATTTTTAATTGAATAAAAGAGAAAAAGTAGGATGGGTGGATTCATGTGGGAATTGCAGTAATTCAGTGGCTTTTCTATGCTTTTATTCTATTCTTATCACTTACATTAATGAGAAAAAATAAATAAATAAATAAATAAAGGAGGGAGGGCCAGGGGCAGGCTTTCTTGTAAATGAAACAATGAAACTTACACCACCCAGATGACATTTATTTGGTTGTAATGGTGGTGACAAATTAAGCTCTACCTTGCTATCTGAATCTCTAAGTGTAGAAACAACAAAAACCCAATTGAGATTTGAAAGGCAGAAAGAAAAAGTTGCTCATGATCATGCACTTTTCAGCAAGAACAGAACATTAACATTTGCTTTAACAAAGAATTTGATCAGAATCCATATATTTCTTTTTCTTTTTTTAAACAGTGGTCATGAAGATGAATCAAAAGAATCAAAAGAATGGTCTAATTTTGAATGGTATAACAAAAGAAGTTAAAAGAAAATTAAAGTGGCAATTCACATCAAGTTTGACCTTTTTGACATCAATTTTGGGAGTGAAGAAATCACTAAAAATTCTTAACCTTTCTTTTAGTAATGACAATCCACCAGAATTTGTGTTCTTAACCTTTCTGGTTGCTGCTGCTGCTGCTGCTGCTGCTTTGATGTTGCAAACACAAGTTTGGATTCTCTATGGTGATCATCTTCAGGTGCTGGAAGGTTGAGATCCAAATCCAAAGACAATATGCTTCTCTGTTTCTTAATGGGTTGTTGTTGATGTTGATTTTGATGTTGCTGAGGTTCAAAGGCAGGGACTGAGGGAGCTGTCAATGCCAAGGTTGTGTTGGCTGCAGCTGGCGCTCTGTGGCGCCTCATGTGGCCTCCCAAGGCTTGCCCAGATGTGAATTCTGCCCCACAAATTGAACACTCATGAACCTTGGAAGAAGACTTGTTGCTACTCAAGACCAACCCTCTGTTGCTCAAATGCAGAGAAAGTGGGGAAGAAGATGTATTGTTGTTGTTGTGGAGAATGCTGTTCTTGAATAATTGTGTGTCGTCTTCGTCTGATGGCAACAACCCAATTGCGAAGTGTTTGTTTTTCTGATCATCCCCAGTATTTGCCTTCGGCTTCTTGTGGCTGGCCCTGTGCCCTCCTAATGCTTGGAAAGAAGGGAAAGCTCTGTTGCAAGTCTTGCATTCATACGCATAATACCCTCCTCCTGCTGCCACCGCCCCCGCCTTGGCCCCGGTGGGCCCCACCGCGGTTGTTGCCTCCAAGAACCTTCGACTTGTAGTGTTGTGATCGTTTTGGGGTTGGTGGTGGTGGTGACTGGGGGAAGAAGAAGCAGCCCTGGATTGGCCTTGTGCCAACAGAATTAGGCAGTTTGCCATGTCCTCCTCTTCCTCTGTGGTGCTATCTTGAAATTCAGCAGATGTGGTGGGAGACAAGTTGGTGGCACTATTGATGTAATCGTTCTCGCCGCCTCCATCACCGCCACCGCCATCTTCCGGGGACGATGAGCTTGTTGGGATGGCAAAAGGGATTGGAGATTGGGGCCTCAAGCGCTTTGTGCGCTTACCCTTGATAATAATGTTGTTGTGTTGTTGTTCCTTGCACCCCATGATGACTTCCTCTTGATGAAGATGATGATGATCACCACCACCTGCCGCTTCCATGGCAATTCCTCCTCCTCTACCTTCAACAGACTTGGAATTTAGAGCTTAAGAGAGACAGAGAAAGAGATAGAGAAGAAAGAGAGATTTAATGGGTAGGGAGGAAGCGAGGAAGGGAAGACTGTTATTACATTATATATATAGCTAATGATATGACATGTTGGAGAGACTCAACAATAATTATAAGGCCATACACCAAATACAACACTAACTGTGATTTAGTCCCTCAATCTCTGTTGAGCTTCCAAGGTATTTATAAATTTTGGATTTTTTTTTTTCGTTCGAAATTAATTCATCGAAGAAAAAAAAACCCGAAAAGTAAAAAGAAGTTGTTGTAATTTTAGAGAGTGAGGTTTTAGTAAATGTGTGTGGGATAGATAGACATTAAGGCAAGGAAAACCAAAAACCAAAACCAAATATAACGGAAAAGAGTTGCAAATTTAGAGATTGAGAGTGTAAGCCCCAAAGAGAAGAGAGGTTTTTGTGAAACGCAAAGTCCGTTTCATGCTCTCTTTCTCACACTTTGCCAACGCACTTCACCAAATTGCAAACAAAACAAACAAAACAAGCTGAGGTTGCACCATATTCACCATGTACCCTCATAGATCTTCCAATCCTACTCTCACCTCCACGGCGCGTGTACTCCACTTTCCAATTCCCCCAAACACTACTAGCTAGTAAAGCCACCTAGCTAAGCTCTTCACTCTCCAACAATCAACTTGTACTTGTA